ATTTTATCCTAATAAAAAATTATAATTTCATATTACCCTTATTTTATGGGTCCAATATACTCTAAAGTTCAAAATCAAGCTTACCATTTGAATGTCTAATAAAATATAGATATTTATATAATATTTTTCATATTTTTCTTTTTATAAATATCTACATTCTATTAGGCATTCAAATGGTAAGCTTGATTTTGAACTTTAGAGTATATCGAATCCATAAAATAAAGGGTAATATGAAATTATAATTTTTTATTAGGATAAAATCATATTTTTTAACGATTATATTAATAGTATCAACGAAAAGTGGTTATGTTTACACATGTACAAACGTCATGAGATGTAAGGGTAGTATTCTAAATGTGAAGGGGTTCAAATGATTAAGTGACAAACATGAGGGAATCTAGGTATAATTTATCAATTTAGTTTTAGGTGCACATTAATACAGATTTCTATCTTTGAGGGTACAAATTGAGATTTTTGATCTTTGGGGGTGTACATTGATACAAATTTCTATCTTTGATGGTGCAATTGAGATTTTTGATCTTTGAGGGTGTNTTTTTGATCTTTGGGGGTGTACATTGATACAAATTTCTATCTTTGAGGGTGCAATTGAGATTTTTGATCTTTGAGGGTGTAAATTGAGATTTGAACGATCTTTCGGGGTACAAAATGAGATTAACCCTCAAAAAAAAAAAGGGGGGGGGCTATGCTACCTATAAATTTAATAATTTTAATAGGTATTTTTATAATTTATGTGAGTTATTTTATAACAAAAAAAATTATTATTTTTGTAGGTGATATTTTATCACTGATGTAGAAATTATTTTTACAATATTTTTTCGGTACCACAATAATTATAAAAAAATTTGCAAAAATGGTAAATATCAATATAGTACCGAAATTTTATTTTTTGGTATTTAGACAACTCATTGAAATAAAAATGTACTGTATCTTGAATTACAACAACTTTCTCACATTTTTAATTATTCTAATTTTCTAACTTCGAAAATTGATGAAATGATTTAATTGAAACATAAATGATACTTAATGAACTAAATTGACATTTTTGAAAATCAGGGACCAAATTAAAACAAGTGACAAAATTCAGGAACCAAATATAATAGCTCTTCAACTATTAATTTACACATTGTACACGACAATTCAAATTTGTGTGTTAAACTTTTATCTGCGCGAACTTCAAGACTAAACATGTGGGTTATTTTCTGATCAAAGTTTAATATGTTAAAAATCAATGATGGAGAAGATAGAGCGAAACTAGCACTATAGTATGATAAATCTATAATATAAAATAAGACATGTTTCGATAAGTTTATCTAACAGTTTCAAATAGACTTATCTAACAATCACTAACATTTATTTCAAAACTATTCACATTGCACTGTGATGCACTGAAGAAATTATAGGATCTAAAATCAGGTAATGCAGCTAACAAATGTGTTTTATATAAAAGACTAGGGATGAGAGTGGTAATTGAGACGAACTATAAACTAAGACATTCTGTGTTAGAATTTTGACAATTCTTTACGGTTAAGTCATGAAGAATATTTTAGTTTTGGTGTGAATAGTCTATCTTTGATCGAACTGAAAAATGAATTAATCGAAGTGTGTAAGCTGGTATAAATATCTTTGATCATTAAACTAAAAAAAAATAAAGTTGTGCAGTTATGACAATCGAATGTAAAATGATAGTAAATATTCAACCAAATTCGTGACACATTTCGAGTATTAGTTCAAAAATGAATCTCTCTAAAATATGTGTTACATCCATCACTTATTTATTCTAAATTTCAATATACATAGGAGTCGTATACACCAGATACAGAATCTCTCTAAAATATGTGTTAGGTTGTTCGTCACTTGACGGTGAAAACAAATTTTGTTATATATGATATAACAAATTTTTTTTGCCCTTTTTATGATCCACTCGTGAGTTATAGTAGTTCAGGTAATGCTATCTTAAAATAATTTACTAGTGTAATTATTAACATGATTATTTTTGGATTAGTATTAGATCCCAATAATACAATAGAGTTCATTGTCAATTTAGAAATATATTTTTTAATTTTTATTTGGAGGGAGTGGAGGAGGAAGGGATGAGCTTGAAACACGTAACCACCTCAATTGGTAAGCAAGAGAGCTTGGGTGCAGTTTCTCTGCTATTAAAAATGATGAATCCAAAATTAATTGAATCAGACCCAATGAATCAAGAAAGGTTCACATCATCTCGGACTTCAAGTTAACAAGTCAAAGAGGAACTCAAGTGTTAAGGGAAGCCAAAGTCAAGGACGAGTCCAAAGTGACACCCCAAGGGGCGCCACCCAAGGGCTCCAAGGAGCGCCGCCCAAGGGGGCACTCCAAGGGGATTCCTTCCCTTCTTTGTCCCATACTCTCTCCCTACGCAACCTCGTGAAGTCCTTCGCCCTCTTGACTCTTGTCTAGCACCCACCAACTCAAGTCTAAGCCTAGGTTCCTTCTCTGGCTGAATAGGAGCACGAGACAAGAATATCGGGATATGCACGGAGATCTAATCCTACCATAAGTGTACTTATTAAAAAGTAGTGACCGCCTCATCAAACTTATATAATGTAAGCCCTCCTCACATAAAGGCTACCGCTGCTGTTCTCGAGAGTAGAGTAGGTTATTCAGACAGAACTACTATAAATCTTGGTATTGATTCTTTATTTACAATTTTGTCATTGATTGCCTATATTACTGCTCATTAATTGTGTTTGATTTTGCGTAAAGCCGATTTGTGTATCATCAAAAAATAAGCAAGAGCTCTGGTTTGGTTCCTCTACTGTTAATTTTTAATTGCAAATGTGTCATTGATTAAAACATGGTTTATCCTCATCCAAAGAACTCTTACAACCAGACTATTCCCTCACCTCATAATTAATTCAATAATAATAATAAATTAGACCAACAAATTAAATAAATAAGTAAATCATGTTCAAAGTGTATTATTATACAAACATGGATAGAAGTGGGATTCCACTTGGCTATTGGTGACTTAAATGGGCTTAAACATGGTGTGGTCCTTTTAATAAATGGCCTTAATTATGGCAGTTAGCAGCTTATAGATGTGATTCATTTTCCTTCTAGAAATGCTTCTGAAAAGATTAGTTTGGAAGAGCCATTGTATCGTCTANGAGAGTAGAGTAGGTTATTCAGACAGAACTACTATAAATCTTGGTATTGATTCTTTATTTACAATTTTGTCATTGATTGCCTATATTACTGCTCATTAATTGTGTTTGATTTTGCGTAAAGCCGATTTGTGTATCATCAAAAAATAAGCAAGAGCTCTGGTTTGGTTCCTCTACTGTTAATTTTTAATTGCAAATGTGTCATTGATTAAAACATGGTTTATCCTCATCCAAAGAACTCTTACAACCAGACTATTCCCTCACCTCATAATTAATTCAATAATAATAATAAATTAGACCAACAAATTAAATAAATAAGTAAATCATGTTCAAAGTGTATTATTATACAAACATGGATAGAAGTGGGATTCCACTTGGCTATTGGTGACTTAAATGGGCTTAAACATGGTGTGGTCCTTTTAATAAATGGCCTTAATTATGGCGGTTAGCAGCTTATAGATGTGATTCATTTTCCTTCTAGAAATGCTTCTGAAAAGATAAGTTTGGAAGAGCCATTGTATCATCTAAATCAGCGGAGCCGGAGCCAATAAATTAACGGTTGAAAATGGATTCTTGTGTCAAATTCATTTCTTCGACTTCTTAAAAAAGTTATCAAATGCATTGGCGTGAAGAACTCGGAATGAGATGCCCTCTAATTAGAGTTGTTAATTGAGTCGAGTTATTCAGATTCGNATTTGTGTATCATCAAAAAATAAGCAAGAGCTCTGGTTTGGTTCCTCTACTGTTAATTTTTAATTGCAAATGTGTCATTGATTAAAACATGGTTTATCCTCATCCAAAGAACTCTTACAACCAGACTATTCCCTCACCTCATAATTAATTCAATAATAATAATAAATTAGACCAACAAATTAAATAAATAAGTAAATCATGTTCAAAGTGTATTATTATACAAACATGGATAGAAGTGGGATTCCACTTGGCTATTGGTGACTTAAATGGGCTTAAACATGGTGTGGTCCTTTTAATAAATGGCCTTAATTATGGCAGTTAGCAGCTTATAGATGTGATTCATTTTCCTTCTAGAAATGCTTCTGAAAAGATTAGTTTGGAAGAGCCATTGTATCGTCTAAATCAGCGGAGCCGGAGCCAATAAATTAACGGTTGAAAATGGATTCTTGTGTCAAATTCATTTCTTCGACTTCTTAAAAAAGTTATCAAATGCATTGGCGTGAAGAACTCGGAATGAGATGCCCTCTAATTAGAGTTGTTAATTGAGTCGAGTTATTCAGATTCGATTCGTGTTTTAAATCAATTGAATTTAGATAATTTTTTAGACTTGTTTAAGAAAACAAGTATAAAAAGGTTCGACTTTAGTTTATAAAGTTTGACTCGTTTATATATAAAAGAGTTGAGTTACTTAGACTCAACTTGACTTGAGTTCAACTTATGTTTTAAATAAGTTAAATTTAAATAATTTTTTAAGTTCATTTAAAAAAATTAGTTGGAGAAACTGGACTCAAGCAATCACCTATTATTTATGTAATTCTCGCTATTTATGAGTGGATCCCCCATCTCTCAATCCATTTGTGGTGATATAAATGTAGCAATGGATCTCTCATGAAAGGTCAGTTTGCAAGATAAATGTATGTAGCAATGAATGAAAAGACTACTAACCACTTACCGAATAAAAAGAAAGGACTACTAACTGTACGTTTGGTGGAATGTAGACTGACCTGCATATGCATTAATTTAGAATAAATAGAAACATGTCGTACATTGCCTACATGAAGTTTGTATGTCACCGATGGCAATTGGAATCCCCTTTTATCCCAAATGATGTGCTACGTTTTTTATTATTAAATAAGTAGATTTTGTTAATATTTAATAATAAAAATTATGTCAAATTATTTAAAATAAAAAATTTGATAAGTATAATATTATTAAAATTTGATATGTGGCCTTTTCTCCGACATCTCCTTCAAGCTGCCTCATGCCCACAGTCTCACAGTCACCTACCTTAGCGCCGACCATTCCATTCCTTTGGGTACCAATGGAACCTCGCCCATTTCCTTCCTCCGTCAACATTGATAAAAAAAAAAAAAAAAATCTAATCTCAAAGAAGAAGATCACAAATCTTAAAGCTCACAAGTGTTTCAAGAAGGAGCTCTCTCTCAAGATTGAGTAGAGTTGGGTATAATGAAGAGGGTTTCTATTTATACCTAGAGTTTCTTGGGATAAAAAAAAACACTCAAAAGTCTCAAATTGCATCCCGGGACTTTTCAAGAATTCAAAAAAGGAAGGAAAGGAAAGAGTTTATATAGTCAATGGGGTCCAACAAGCCAAAGGAGTCTACTGGAAGTGACGAGGCCGCCGATCAAGAGAAGTTTTCAAAAAAATTTCGGATTTAAAAAGGGTCATAACTCCAAACATGGCTTATTATATATGAAAATCGAAGCTCTAGATGAGCTGAGCAAAACTCATTTCCTGTTGGCAATGAGCTTTTTAAAATAAGTTCAAAAAAGGTTTAGAAAGAGGTGTTTTCACCTCTCGAAGTTTTTTAAAAAAAATAAAAAAAATTCTGCTCGCCTGGAACAGTGCTTAGCTCGTCTGAAAGCCGCTGCTCGTCCAAACCACTCGCCTAACTCTTTGTTCGAAGTTTTAACCGTAACTTTTACTCTATTACTCCAAATGAGGCTTATAATATATCAAATCGAAACTCTTGGCGAGTCTTACAAGACACTTAGCCTTTGACTGTGATTGATACTGTAAAAAGCCCAAAAAAAGTCTGGAAGTATATGTTTTGGCCTCTCGAAGTTTTTCCAATTTTGTTGTTTGGTCAAAAATTCAAACTCGACTGAATGCCCTCCTTTTTAAGTTCCTTAAATGCAGGGTCAAGCCCAAGGGTCTAACTCATGTTATAAGTCTGACCCTAGTTTTAAGGCCCAACTCCAAGAAATCCACCAAGTTCAGCCTAATGTGATCGGTCTAGTCAAACTCGTCAAGCTCAAGGAGTTACATCAACAAGGAGTATGCAAGGTTATCCGGGAGTCTCCTCTATCACCTTGAGGTAGAGCATGCAAGGTCATTCAGGAGCCTTCTCTACACCGCCAAGAGAACATCCAGAAGCCTCACCCTTGTCGCTTAGAGAGCATCATAAACTTCTTTGTCGTTGAGGAGAGCAGAGATTGCCAAGCTATTTAATCACTATTAAAGTCACACCAATCCGTTATGACTATTAAACGACCCCAACCCCGTTATGACCGTCCAACTAACTATATAATTACTACACTAAACCACTATAAATTTTAAATCCTACCAACACTTGAGAGGCATCAGACTCATTTGAGCATAATTCTCTCCTCCCCTCTCAAAGCTTGTAATCTTGTGCTCTCCCTCCACACCGGAGATAATAAAAATTTGATTACCCTTGCCATTAAAAATGGACGTAAGTCATATTGACCGAACCATTAAAATCTTGTCTTCTCTCTCTTTCTATTTTACTGCATTTTATATTGCTTAAATAACAGGTAGTGTGCAAATCAATTTTGTACATCATCAATAACGGTGGCTAAAACATTGATAACTTAAGTTTAATTCTCGTAAAAGATAGGTAATTGCTTGAGACACATGATTTATATATAATTACACACATCCCAAATTTATATATCAGTATATGCATGAAGATTTAATAGTGCGAAAAACTTGTACAGAATTCTATTTTTATGAATAACCTTTAGTTTTAATTTTTCATTTTAACCGAATTAAGGTAGAAATTAGTAAAAGTGAAAGTAAGTCAATTCGTACGCAAAAAAAAAACAGTTCTAATTGTTAGGAAAAACACAAGATGAAAGTTTTGTGAAGAATTGCTTTTTTTTTTTTTTCCAAAATAACTGATTTTCACTGCCTTTTTGGCTGAAATCTAGTTCACATGGTTCAAATGTGGAGGACTCTCGACGGGGCTCAGCTGGGCACACGTCCTCGGAGATGCATTCTCAGCTTCAAACTTCATCAACATGTGGGGCAAGATCATGGCAGGCCATTTCCCACCGGAGTCTCTCAATATGCCGATCGCCGGAAAGACCCAATTCCGATCTTCAAATGGCAAGAAACCATTTTCCCTGAAAAGGGTCAACCCTGTTGGGGACTATTGGCTCACTACCAATTCTTGCAAGATCGAAACCCATTCTTTTCATTTGACTGCAAAACAACTTGACCATTTACTGTCTGAGATTTGTGGCCATGACCCAGCAAAGGTAAAATCACCCATTTTTGAAGTTCTCTCGGCGATATTGTGGAGGTCTTTGGCTAGGATAAGGGGTGAGTCAGAGCCAAGAGTTGTGACAATATGTAGAAACGATTCTGGGAACAGAGAGAATGAACTTCCGAACAATAATGAGCAGGTGATTAGCGTTGTGGAAACAGATTTCACAGTTGCAAAGGCGGATATATTAGAACTGGTTGATCTGTTTGCTGAAAAGATGTTGCACGAGAGGTGTTTGATAGAAGAACTGATAGAGAGTGATAAAGCAGAATCGGACTTTATAGTATACGGGGCAAACTTAACGTTTGTAAATTTGGAAGAAGCTGAGATTTATGGGCTGGAACTGAATGGACAAAAACCAGTTTATGCGAACTATAGTATTGCTGGAGTTGGGGATGAGGGGGTTGTTTTGGTGCTCCCGGGGCCAGAAAATGGTAAAGAGGGAAGTGGAAGAACAGTGACTGTGACCCTGCCCGAGTATAAGCTAGTAGAGTTGAAAAATGAGCTCAAAACGGAATGGGGTATTTTCTGAAACCAAATTAAGGAGGGGCTGTTAGACGCAAATATTACAGTGTACGAGATGTCCAGCACGTACGTAGTATATGGGAAGATCGAACTGGAATCACGTAGATTATGGGAAGCTTAGTGTACGTAATTTTATCCCACATATTTGTTTTTTAAAATTATATTGTGTAAAAGACTCGAATCACGTAGTATATGAGAAGATCGAACTCGAATCACGTAGAATATGTGAAGGTGATGAAAAAATTCCGTGCCGTAGCTTCAATTTTTACTATTTTAACAAGTGTTTTTATGTTTTTTGTGGATAAAAAATATACCATTTTGTGAGTTGTTTTATCATTTTTGTGTGTGTTTTTTATCAATATTTTGGGTGATTTTATCAATTTTTTTTCATTATAAAAAAAATTATCACTTTTGTGGATAATTTATTATGTTTATGAATGTTTTTATCATTGTTGTGGTAACTATGTTTATTATTTTTTTGTACTATTAAATCAAAATAGATAAAAATTGTATTAATCTTGCTCCTCGTTATATATTTATAAGTTGAGAAATCATCTTTCTNTATTATTTTTTTGTACTATTAAATCAAAATAGATAAAAATTGTATTAATCTTGCTCGTTGTTATATATTTATAAGTTGAGAAATCATCTTTTTAATTGTAATATTTAGATAGATTAACAAATTAGGAAGTTGAAGGTTTTGTTAATCTGTATAATATTAGCGCTAGGAAGTTGAATTCTCAATTTATAAAAGCACAACAACAATCAAAATTGATTCAATTTTTATTTACTTTTGATTCGATGATACAAATTAAAATTTATCCCAAAAAAATTCTTTCCCCTCAAAAATATATGTTTTGCACAATCTCTAATATCAAACATCTCAATCAACACATTCAACAGTATCAAATAATCTCATCAATCTACACATACCTTTCTCTTTTCTCTTACTTAATTTTGATTTTGAATTGCGTAATAAAATAAACTAAATTAATATTTACAATATAAATATTATAGAATCTTCGACTTTTAATATTGCATAATGTCTTTGGAACGAGTGTATATAATTGTAATGTTCTCTTTGATAGGAAGGATGAAAAATAGGAGAGATACACATTCTATTTTTCAGGGATGAAAAATAAGAATGATACATTTTTCTTCTTTTGTGTTTGGTTGAATGGATGAAAAATAAAAATGATTAATTTTTTTTAAAAATTTTGTTGTTTTGACTAAAATTAAGGGTGACAATCGAATCGTGTCGCGTCAGATTCGTGTTGAGTCATTAAATTATGAGCTTTTTATATTTTTTGCTTTTTTTGTCAGGTCATTTTCAAGTTCGTGTCAAATTATAATCAAGTTCGTGTCATAAAATTCGTGTGGAGTTCGAATCGTGTTGAGTCGAAAATTTTCATCCCAAGTTAAGATGATTTTTTTTTTAATTTAAAATTTTCATTTATATATATATATATATTATCATTGTATTTTTATATAAAATTAATATATACATAATATATAGACAAATAAAATACATTTAAACACAAAAAATTTACCTTCCATCCACTTTTCTTTCGATTTTAGAGGAATTGATTTTAGTAAATTAGAAGAAAAATTAATCTATCCATTTTTTCATCTTTCCTATTTTTTTCCTTACCAAACATAATGTTTTATTTATCCCTCCAATTTTCCATCATTTCAACTTTCTATACTTCTATTTTTTTATCATACCAAACAGAGCATAAGTAAAATTTTAAAATATTAGTTGTAAGAGAAGTCATTGAATTTAAGCGATCGATATCACTATTGTACTTAATGTAAACAAAACATTTATCTTCCCATTAGAAAATTCAACGCAAAAACATTTTTTAATCTTGATTAAAATGTAAGTACGCATAGATAAAATGTTAAAACTTAAGTTATAAAATCTAAACGATTTAGAACAATGTTATAATTAGATTAAATCATATTAATTACTTTGACGTCAATAACACCAAGTTTTGACACGTTTTGCCTCGACTCTGAAGCATATTGGCGTAATAATAAAATTTTATTGTAACCGTATGATTAGTACAAAGTTCTAATGCTTGATGGTAATATTTAATGGTACTCATAATCCAATAATTATAATAAATTAAATTAATAAATTATATCATTACTCATAATATACTTAGACAGGTCGACGTAAGAACATGCGTTTGTTCAACCACTACGAAGTTTTGGGAGATTTTCATATCATATTGCATCATACAAATGAAAATTTTGACTGGCCGTAGAGTATATATAGAGTATATAGTACTACAGTCGACAGTTTGTTGGCAGGTAAAGTCAAGTTGTTGAGGGTTTCAAATTCAAACATCTATAGCAAGTAAATAAAGTAGAGAAAAAATGCGCTCTATGGCCAACTCCAATTGAACGGGTTAAGGAGAAGAGCTAGTTCCTTTTTTCACTATGTAAGTCTTGGTATAGTTAATATTTCAAGGGAGTGGAAGAGCTTATTTCATAAGAAATCAATCTGAAAAGAAAGATATAATAAAAAAAAAAATAAATGACGTAAATTAAAATTTTAAAAAATTAAAATGACCCTAAAGTGTGATCACGTGAAATGCAAGTGACCACCAAAGTGACGTCAATTAAAATTTTTACGATCTTTAGTGATATGATTGAAATAATAGAATGGAAATAAACTATATATATATCCCTCAAATTATAATTTTTGTATCAAATAAATCTTTAAACTCTTTAATTGTATCAATTGGACCATTTTGTTTTTTTTTTTTGTACCATATAGTCACGTGAGTGTCACACTTTAATGGTGACAGAAAAAATGATTCAATTGACNTTTCATATCATATTGCATCATACAAATGAAAATTTTGACTGGCCGTAGAGTATATGTAGAGTATATAGTACTACAGTCGACAGTTTGTTGGCAGGGAAAGTCAAGTTGTTGAGGGTTTCAAATTCAAACATCTATAGCAAATAAATAAAGTAGAGAAAAAATGCGCTCTATGGCTAACTCCAATTGAACGGGTTAAGGAGAAGAGCTAGTTCCTTTTTTCACTATGTAAGTCTTGGTATAGTTAATATTTCAAGAGAGTGGAAGAGCTTATTTCATAAGAAATCAATCTGAAAAGAAAGATATAATAATAATAAAAATAAATAAATGACATAAATTAAAATTTTAAAAAATTAAAATGACCCTAAAGTGTGATCACGTGAAATTCAAGTGACCACCAAAGTGACGTCAATTAAAAATTTTACGATCTTTAGTGATATGATTGAAATAATGGAATGGAAATAAACTATATATATATCCCTCAAATTATAACTTTTGTATCAAATAAATCTTTAAACTCTTTAATTGTATCAATTGGACCATTTTTTTTTTTGTACTANATATCCCTCAAATTATAACTTTTGTATCAAATAAATCTTTAAACTCTTTAATTGTATCAATTGGACCATTTTTTTTTTTGTACCATATAGTCACGTGAGTGTCACACTTTAATGGTGACAGAAAAAATGATTCAATTGACACAATTCGAAAGTTTAGGAATTCAATTGACACAAATACCATAATTTAATGATCATATATATAGTTTTTGATCGGAATAATAAGCATTAAATAGCTGTGAACCATATACTTGAAAAACCATTGTTGTATTTTATCCCTTCTAAGTTAAATTACAGCACAAAAAAAAAGAAACATTTATTATATAAAGTTGGTGATTATTCTTTGAGATTCATTGAAAAATAATTTAAAAAAATTGTTATCAATATTAAGAAAAATCCCGAGCCTCGAATTTTTTTAATTTTTTTTAATTTTTGGCGTGGATATTATATTATTATTAAATATATAAAAAAATACACCACTGTACGTAGCTGTGAGAAAGCACCTTATTTCTAGACGTTGAAAATATATTTGTTGTTATCGAATTGTAGTAATTACGGAGGCTCAAATCCGAATATTGGGTACAACCAACAAGTCGGTGACCATTTGTCAACTATNAACATTTATTATATAAAGTTGGTGATTATTCTTTGAGATTCATTGAAAAATAATTTTAAAAAATTGTTATCAATATTAAGAAAAATCCCGAGCCTCGAATTTTTTTAATTTTTTTTTATTTTTGGCGTGGATATTATATTATTATTAAATATATAAAAAAATACACCACTCTACGTAGCTGTGAGAAAGCACCTTATTTCTAGACGTTGAAAATATATTTGTTGTTATCGAATTGTAGTAATTGCGGAGGCTCAAATCCGAATATTGGGTACAACCAACAAGTCGGTGACCATTTGTCAACTCTCACAGGACATAAAGTCAACAATCGCGAGTAAAAAGGCCTCCTCCAAAAGTTTATTGTCAAAAGCTGGACAGCAGGAGACAATACCAGAGCGGCATAGCCCCCTCCCTTCTTTTGCTATCACCACTGCCGCTCCTCTCTCTCCACCATCTCCTCTTCCAGGGGTTCGACGATACTATACATATATATATATATATATATATATATATATAGAGAGAGAGAGAGAGAGAGAGAAAGAGACAGACGAACACGTATAGATACGCCTGTGATTAGATATAGAGAACGCAAGGAGAATTCTAGGTAGAAAGCTTCTTCGGCATTTAATTTATTGATTTTGGATCAAGTTTCGGGGAAGAAGTACAAACTTAGAGACGTATATGTGGAGAGAGAATGGTAGAATTGTGATATTTTTGAGTGATTGAGAGAGAGAGAGAGAGAAAGATTGGGAGTTTCGAATTGGAATTTGGATCGGTACGGAGGAAGATGAGTTTGGATATGGATTTGGTGAGATCGATTGAATCGATATTGGGAGTGTCGTTTGGAGAAGCGGTGACTGATCAGGTGGTCGTGATCGTGACGACGTCGTTTGCTTTGGTTGTTGGATTATTGGTATTGTTATGGAAAAGATCGGCTGATCGGAGTAAAGAATCAAAACCTGTGGTGGTGCCGAAGCCTGTATTGGTGGAGCCTGAGGAAGCGGAGTTTGAGGTCGATGGGAAGACGAAGTTGACTGTGTTTTATGGTACTCAGACTGGCACTGCCGAGGGATTCTCTAAGGTAAAAAATCTTTTTTGAAATCTTGTGATTGTTAATTGAAGTTGGGTTGATTTTTGGATTTTTTTGCATGGTAAAGCTCTTGTGAGAATGCTAAATTTTGGGGGTTTGAATGTCAGGAATGGGGGGGCGATAGTTTTGTTTCTAATTTGCAAGATGAATGTGGAATTTTAGAATCTGGACTAGAGATCAGGACCAG